CAAAGCACTCAAAAATAATCGAACAAAGAAGAGATAAGGACCGACATGGGCTATTTCCTTGGTAACCAGAAGAAAAAAATTAAACTTAGATTCACCTCTTTAGGCCCCACCTTTACTCCTCCCTAGACCATCCCAAAAATCCCTTATATGGACATGAGGGGATGTACGATTTGATTACATTTGTGGATGCCTATAAAATCTTTGTTGGTTGCTTTGCAAGTGTGGTTCTCCTCAACACGTTGCCACTGTGTTAAATGAGCCATCCAGAATATTTATTGGCCAATAAACTTCTGTTAGCTAAAAATAAGCCTCGTCTCAAGTTAATTTGGTTCTCTAAACTTGGGTAAACGAATAAACAAAGGCTAGTGCCTAACAATTGCACACAGTGGTTTATGTCTCTGGGAGAGTTTAGTTAGGTTTTTATGATGATGTTGTCATGCTTTCCAATGTTGAAGTGTGTTTTGTTGGCAGAATTTACCCCAAAAGGCGGCTTCCACCCATTTAAAACAAATTAAGCCTATTTTTCGTCTATTTTCTACAAGCATACTGGAGTTTAACCATTCTGCTTTGAATTCATTCATTTTATTGTTAACATATTCCATGTATTTAGGAACGGTGTTAAAGATATATTAGGTCCCATATTCAATCCTTGGAAGCTTTAATTTGAATCCCAGCGATTTTTTTTTTCAACTTTCCATTTTCTTACAGTTCTACTTTGGCCTGTAGAACTGAAGGCAGCCAAATGGGGTTAAAAATAAAATCTACACTTAAATCCCCAAAGGGCGATGTATTAGTATATATGGACAAGTGGCTACAGTCTCACTTAGTGCATAGAAAATAATTTAAATTTAAATCTTTGAAGACTATGATCGGCGAAGGCAAACGACGCTCCCCAAGGAAACTTGGGTGCAAGAGGTCTCCGTAGCACATGGGCCGCTCTAGGGCACCTCCTCTCCGTGGTCTTCGGCCTCAGGGGACCCGTAGAAGTGACGCCATCTCTTACGCTCAAAGCCCCCCCCCTCGCGCTTTCTCGGGCCTCCTGCGAAAGCCGCACTGCCGCTTTCCCCGTAGCTTCACTTACGCGCATGCCCAGTAGCTCTCGGTAGAAACGGATAGTCTGAGCTCGGTCGCCGACTTTGAAGACGAAGTGTAAGGCGCGTTTTGCCTTCATTTTCTTCCCTCAAAAAACTGCGAAGGTAACGCGGGCTCTCGGCTGTTTTATTGTGTTGCGGACTGGCGCCGTGTGATGACGTCACAGGGACAACATGGAGCGCCACTTCCACGAGGGCTCGGGCCTTTCGCTGCGGAAAATCCTGCCTATTTTGGCTACTCTAAAGATTCGAAGACTAGGACAGCACCACTCTTGCAATTACAGAGCAAACCTTTTGCCCGACTTGCTGTTCGCCTAGAAGCGCCATACAGTACACATTGTTATATCTCTCTTGCCAAAGATAATCACAGCAAGAGGAGCTGCCTATTTCTAACCGGAAGTTCCGGCTGTTTTTGTGCCGCTCTATAGCATTGCCTCTATGGCTGAGCGGAGCCATTTTATTCTGGTCGAGACCACCGGCAGCCGGCTTGGCATAGGAATCCCGCGAGATTATCCGTAAGCCTCGCAGATGTGGATACTTCCGCCCGCAAGCAAGATGGCGGCCCTGTTCAGGCAAGCGTGGGCTCCTCTGCTCTTGACGCCGGGTCGGGTTAGCGTTGGGAGCCGCCGCGGGGTTCGCGGGCTAAGAAGGAAACCTCTCCGTGTGCTGCCTTCGGTCGCGCAGGCGCAGGAGCAGCAGCGGATCGTCCCCTCCAAGGTTAAAGCCAGTTCCCTCCCAAAAGCGCCCGCTAAGGAGCGCAAGCCGGAACCGGAACCCAAGGAGGCGGAGCTGCGCTATGAGCGGGCCGAACCCAACGAGAAGAGGCTGAGGTAACCTCGTTCGCGCAGAGCATCCTGGGCGCTGTAATGCGGGCTGCTGGGGGGAGTGGACGAAATGGAAGGCGCGAACCACGAATTCCGGCGTCCTTCGGGGTGAAAGTGCTGAGTCACGTGGGCTGTGATCTCCCGCAATGTTTTCTGGGAGTTGTAGTGAAGGAATCGAGGCGGAGAAAGCTATAATTTTCTTTCTTTGCTGAAAAATCCACCGATCGCGTTCATTTCCCTCCGTCTTTTCCCATCCTGGTGCCGAAGCTGACGTGTTGGACTCCAATCCCTGATTTCCAACTATACCCCTCACTCCCCAGCCGGCAACACCAGGGATGTTGGACTACACCCTTGCTGGCCTGCAACAGGGGGAATTGCAGTCCAACGTATCTCCAGCCAGCCGTCTGAGAAAAGCCCATGTTCTTTATCTGGTTACATATTACTCTCAATTCCATTTCTATGAAATATTTTGGAGTGAAAACAAGCCGTGTGTGTGCAGTTGGTTGACCGTGGTTTAAACGCACCCCCCCACCCAAAAAAATCAGGTCAAAATCAGAAAAGAAGTAACTCCCAGGATTGCCAATAAGGGGGGAAACCAATTTCATTTATATCTCCCAGTAAGATGCAAACTGTAGCTGGTGTGTGACGGTTAAGGTTTGGATCCGGATCAGGGATCTGGTCTGTGCTGGGTAACAACTTAGCAGCAGCCGCCATTCCTCCTCCTCCTCCTCCTCCTCCTCCTCCTCTTCTTTTGGATCTGGGGGCTCACAGTCTCCTGAGGCCAAGAATGGCTTCCCAGCCTTTGCAGGTGGAAAATGCACAGAACCCTTCTAAACCCTAGAAAAGTTTGGATTTTTTTTAATATAAAGGGGAAAAATTGTGAACCGTGTCCCCAAGGTGGAAAAAATATGGTCTCATCCCCTTTGAATGTCATTCCACTCACTCATCTCTTACGTAACCTTTTTAAAGTGCCAGAGGCTGAACCAAAATTGGGTGGTGTCCGGGGAGGTAAAAAAAATTCAAGATGGCAGTTGCAGTGTGTGTAAAAAGGGGTGAGGTCAAGAGGTCACAGCTGCCAGCTTGACTTTTTTGACCCCCCCCCTGCAACTGGACAACTAGTACCCTCTAAACATCTTAGATTTCAGCTCCCAAACAAAGAAAACCATTGGCAGGGGATTGCAAGAGTGAGTGTAAAACCTTCAGAGAGCTTCATGGTGTACGCTGGAGAATCATGCTCTGCTTTAAGCCTCTAAGAGTCACTCCCTTGAGATAAGCCCAGTCAGGAAATGGACATCACAAGGAATCCAGGAGCACTACTTTATTGTAATAGGGTGTGATAACTGAATTTTGAAAGCCTGTCAGAGTTTCTCTCCCCGCCCCCCCCCCACTTATACCAGAGAGAATCAAGTGGGGGTTATGTTGAGTTTTTCTCATGCCTCCCCTTTTTCCAGAGCTGAGTTGTCTTTTATTTTCCCTTAACAGCTCCTGCATAATCTCCTCTACACTCTACACCAGTGTTTCTCAACCATGGCAACTTTAAGGTGTGTGGACTTCGACTCCCAGAATTCCCCATGCATGCTTGCTGGGGAATTCTGGTAATTGAAGTCCATGTGTCTTATAGCGTACTGGCTGGGAATTTAAAGTTGCCAAGATTGAGAAACACTGCTCTACACTAAGTGAAATCCATATTAATTGAGAAAAAGTGAGACGTTTCTGAAAGTTTCCAAAGACAGTTAGTTCTTCTGATGAGAACTCATCTACAGGCTCACTTCCTTTCCCCTCTGCTAGAACCTACATTCAGCTTTTTGCATGACTCAACTCCCATCTTATCACTTGAGGAGGGCGATGGTTTGAGCTGCTGAATCTCAAGAATGACCGTGAGGAAGTGGGTTTTGCTTAAGAGCTGGCCACCATCCAAGCTCTGAGTGGGTCTTGAAGTGGTCATGGTGGAATCTGAAGGATGACTTCCATGTGCTTAGAAAAGAAGATGCAAAACAGATGATAAATGTGAGTCTCCTAGTCCAGCATCTTAACTATTCTTCCAAGGTTGGCAAGTTCATCACTGCTTCCCTGCAGCCTGATCAATGCCAATTGTCTGATTTTGGGTGGTTGACTACCTTCTCTTGTTCTTCTTTGTTGATGCCCTATCCCTCCATGGGCACTTTCACAGACCCCCTTTTTCCCAACAGCAAATTGGTGACCCTTGCCAAGTCGAGGACGTTTCGCGAGAAGCATGGGAAAATTCTCCTGGAAGGCCGGAGGCTCATTACTGATGCTCTGGAAGCTGGGGCCGTTCCCCAGATGATCTTCTTTAGCATGATGGAGAACCTGAAGCTACTGCCGGCAGCCAAGCTCAAAGGGGCCACCCTCGTCAAAGTGAAATTCAGTGACATCAAGATCTGGTCAGATGTCATCACTCCACAGGGGTTGATAGGTAAGTCCCAGTGGAAATCGGAGAGCTGCGGATGAATTTGTCCCCGGGTTAGCAGCCTGGCTGAGTAGGATCTCATGGGAACTGCCTGAGAAGACTCTCTTGGGCCTTGCTCATTTTTTTTCTTTGTTGAGCAATCAGTCTGCTGCTCTTTTCAAAGCAGTGAATATAAATCACTTTGCAGCTGGCTGCTTTCCAGTAGTTAAAGCTAGGAGCGACGTCTTGGGAAACTTTGATAAAAATTCTTGCGGGCTCGTCACACCTCATGTCCCTCCTTTGGGCTTTTGCCTTCAGGCTGGTCCACAGGGCCTCTGGCTAAGGACTGTGGAGCCACTGCGGATTGGCTAACCAGGAGATTCTTGCAGAATGAAGCTGGGCAGGTGGATCCCAGCCTGACACAGAGAAAACAGTTTGTGGCTTTTAGAGAGAAGATGTGCCCTTAGCTCTTGTTTCGGTGTTGTGAACAAATTTCTGAACGCTGGAGAGAGAGAAAGTTTGGAAGCCATTCTGCCCCATCCCTCTGCCTTGCTGGGGTCCTCTGAAGCTGAGGCTGTAGGTGGAAAAGATGCAGCAGCCTCTCTGTGGTGCTTACGTTTGAACCCTTGATCTGTTGAATCATGGAAGAGATGGGAAGGCTTCTGGGGAATGCAGAGTCAGGACAATCTCTGCTTTTTCTCCAGCCAGCCCCTTCAAGAATTTGGGGCTACAGCTGCCCTAAGCTGCAGGCAGTGTGTCCACAGCGGTTGAAAAATTGAGTGAGTCTCGGTCGCATCCCAAAAGGAAGGCTGTTTCGTGTCCCAAAAGCCCTCCCTTGTTGGAATGAAAGTTGGAGCATCAAGAATGGGAGGTGGAGTTGGGGGGCAGCATCTTAGGGTTCAGGAGCCTGGTTGGGAGATTGCAGAGAAGATTACGGAGTGGGAGGGAAATGGTGGGCAGCGGGGCCTTCAAGCAGTGCAGGAGAGTGGAGGGGTTAGGGGTTAGGGCTAGAGTGGAGGAAAAGCAATTGTGAGGCATCGGACAATCTTGGTAAGGTATTCTTAGGCCAGAAATAAGACTGAGAAAGCCATAAATGGATGCTGTGAGATTAAAACTGACCTACCCTCTTGATGTTCCCCCTCGGACAAAACACGGCTCACCTAAAGCAACCCAACCCCTTTGAAGATTACAGATTTATTAAGCATGCAAACCACAAACAGGCTCCCAGCAAAGCATTGGCAGCGTGTCGAGCAGCTTTTGAGCCAAAGCCGAGCCACATCCTATATACGCCTTTGGCCCACTACATTTTGAAGACAAGACAAAGGCAGACCCAGTGTACATCACAGCATACGACGTTGGCGTGTTTTTGATAAACCCGTCTGGGCAACCATCTTGTTATTTCTCACTTCCTACTAGGTCAGCAGGGCAGCTACACCGTCTCTGAGATAGTGAACAGAGACTATCTCTGTTGTCAATGAACAGAAACAATTTGGGTTCCTGGGCAAGTCACCAAGGTGTGGGTCCTCCCCCCCCCCAGTTTTGGGCTCTTAGTCTCTGAGATGCATAATCTCAGCATCTCCTCTCTGGGAGAACGATCCCCTTGCTCATTCCGTTCATTCAGTTTAGTACTTTTATTAAGTAGGCCCTGATATCCAAGTGAAGAGATGTTTTCTTCTCACAACAACAACCCCATGAGGTAGGTTGTGCTGAGAGGGACCGTCCCAGAGTCCCCCAGGGGGCTTCCAAGGCTGAGGGGGCCCTAGAACGTGGATCTCTCCAGTCTGTATCCAACAACAGCCTTGTGAGGTAGGCTATGTAGAGGGACTGGCAAAGTCCCTAGGGAGCTTCTGTGACTGAGGGAAGACTTGAACCTGCGTCTCTCTGCTTCTAGTCCAGTCCTTCCCCACTCCCCCACCCTGGCTCTCTTATCTCTTAAACTTATAAACCTACTTTTTCTTCAGGAACGCAAGGCAGTATATATAGAACTCCCACCTTCTATTTTCCCAGAACAACAGCCCTGTGAAGTAGGCTGGGCAGAGAGAGGGTGATTGAGCATCTGCAGCTGGGGAAGGACCAATGCCTGGTTCTCTCCCCTCCCAGCTTTCTCTTCCCCTTCTAGCTAGGATTGCTAGTCATCCCCTGCCTCTCTTGGTTTCTAACAGGGATTTTCGCCATGCCCCATCACTCCAAAATGACGTACCCAGAAGTCCCGCCGGAGCACGCCCTGCCCCTCACGCTGATCTGCGACAACATTCGGGACCCTGGAAACCTGGGCACCATCCTGCGCTCAGCGGCTGGAGCCGGCTGCTGCAGCGTGCTGCTTGTGAAAGGTGGGGAGCAGCCACTGGGCACAGCGGGGGGAGAAGCCGGCTGGATTTTGACCAGCTCTTCCTCTGTGGGGTGGGAAGGGGGAAAAGGGCAGAGGGGAGAGGGGTGGATCTCCTCTTGCAAAAGTCAGGACTCTGCTTGGCAATTTCAGGGGAAGGTTTCATTCTTCCCCGTGCAAAGGAGATGAGGATTTGTGAGCTGAGTGTGAGCAGGGGTCCTGACCTGCATGATTTCCATACCTCCCATTTTTAAAGAGGTAGAAATAATGTTTTACTTCTGTACACCTGCTTTGAAGAGGAACTGTGAGGAAGAGCTATCCCAGCATGCTTCAGGGGCTTCACTCAGTCTGGGGATACTCTAGAGCGGCGTTTCTCAACCTTAGTGACTTTAAGATATGTGGGTCTTTAACTTCAGAATTCCCCAGCCAGCATGGGAAATTCTGGGAGCTGAACATCTTAAAACATGCTGGCTAGAGAATTCTGGGAGTTGAAGTCCACTCATCTTAAAGCCTGCTGCTGGCTAGGGAATTCTGGGAGTTGAAGTCCACTCATCTTGAAGTTGCCATGGTTGAGAAATAATGCTGAGGAACTCACAGTTTAGACAGGGATCCATAGTTCTCTTTTGCTCAGTTTCGTAGCAGCGTGGATTTAGAGGCATGTTCCCTCTGAAATTCAGTTTTGGGGCACCAACTTAGTTATTTAAAAGATTTGTATGGCCACCCTTCTTAAGGCACAACTCTGGCTCAGAACAACAGCAAAACTACAGAGCCTTAAAACCATCAAAGTCATAACATGAAAACTAAAAACCTCCTCCCAGGACACCCCGACAACCGTGCAAGGCTCCCACCGCTCTCCCCCAGGGCCTGGGTAAAGAGCCTCACAAAGAAAGTAGAGGGTCTCTACCAGCTTCTTCTGGCCTACAGTCCTGTTGACGAGGCAGCAAGCTGATTGGAATTGCAGCCTTGTCTTTGAGACGGCCTTGTAAGAGTGGACTTAGGCAGGATTCACACTGAAGGCCCCGAATGCCCCCTCTGTCCAGGGCCTGCCCTGTGGAACGTCATCCTCCTGAGATCTGGACAGTCCCAACCCCTTGTTAGCCTTTCGCAAGGCATGAAAGACCTGGATGTTCCCCCAGGCATTTGGGCCGGGAGGTTGAGCAATTGAGGTTGAACCATTTGTTCACTGTTTAATTATAGTT